TTTCATGATGCGCACTTTTTTTCAGCGGGGGATGTGGATGGCGACTGTTATGTCGGTTGCCTTCTGGGGCGGGGGGTCCTTCGCCGCCGAAATGGACGAAGGGTGGCGAGAAGACGGGTGGTGGGGTCACTGGCCAGCGCCAGTCTACCCCGCGACCTTTGGCCTTCTGTATCGCCATCCCCGATGAGGCCCGCGACACCATCGTTTCCACAGGAGGGCAATGGACTTGTCGTTTAACAGTGTCAGGTACTGCTCGCTCGTTGTCGTCCACGAAGCAAGAGTGTGTGTTTATAAGGATGTGGCTGCACTTGCGAAATGAACGATCGGGCTCCAAACACGCGCAGCAAGGCACATGCATCGACCTTCTAGCTATCTCGCCTTCACCTCCTCCTGCCTCCACTCCCCACTTGTTCTTTTCCATGGCACGAAGGCAGTCGCACACCGCGCTCCGCCGTCATGGATGATCTGCGCATTCCGGCGGGATTGCTGCGACATCGCGCGCCACGAAGAACAGTTGACGTCGGTTCTCACCATCCTCGCCTTCGTCGCCTTCATCGCCTTTCTCGCCGCCTTTCTCGCCGCCTTTATCGCCTTTCTTGCCATCCTCGCCGCCTTCATCGCCTTTCTCGCCATCCTCACGCCCGTCGTCTCTGCGATCACGCCTGTCACGTTGCCAAGTCGCCATGTCGTTGCCGCATCCGTCGTGGCCCTTGGGCCATGTGAACTTCATCGCCACGTTGTTCAACCGTGGAGTGTGCACCTCTGTTTCTTAATCGCCAACGCTATCGTCGCCACCATCGCCACGTTTGCAGTCTATCCCGCCGTCACTGTCGTCCTGTTCGTCGTCGATACGGGCCATCGTCCAGAACGTCTTTCGGGCCGTCAACGACAGCGACGACATCATCGCCACACCCGTCATCACAGCAGAGACGACCATCACAATCTGCTGCAGGGCACTTTTCAGCGTCGACGCAGAGATCTACAGTTGGCGGCTGGTCTGCCTTGAAGTTGGTGTGTCGCGCGTCATGTCGTCCCGCGGTTCTGGACGTGCCAAGTCCGCAGGGAAACTGGCAGTCGAAGCGGCTATCCGAGAGAGAAAGAGCAGCCACGTCGCCAACAAACAAAGGAAACTCGTCGAAGGCGCCTTTCCACTTCCGAAGTATGTCGAGGATGACAAGTGGGTGGCGTCGCAGGTCAAAAGCGACTTCGAGGAAGACGAGGAAGTGTCCTTGAAGAGGAAGTCTAAGAGGAGGGGAAGTGGAGCCCTCCGGATCGATGATGTCGGCGAGAGACGAGGAAGAGGAGGGCGCGCAATGATGGAAAATGTCATCGACGTCAATGCCGCGGCGGCATCCGGGCGATGTGGGGGAACAACCGTCGGACAGCAACATCGCGCGGCAGTGGCACGTGCGAACGAAGCCCCGAAAGTGCAAGAGGTTGTCGTCCGCGCGCAAACACTAGCAACCCCGCGGGCGACGACCTCTACAGATGTTGGCGTCAACATGCAAGCCGTCGGTTAGGGGAGCAAGAGCTGCTCTCCTGTGTCGGAGCAGCGAGGGGCTGCATCGGGGGGGTGCTGCGCACACGGGGGAAGGGGCGAGGGCGGGCGGGGCCGCAACGGGTGGGGCTCCTCACACGAGGGAAGGGGCAAGGGCAGGCAGGCCCGTGGCGGCGGGGGCTTCACAAGCGGCTGAAGTAGCGAGGGCGGGCGGGGCGAAGGCAGGTGGGGTTCCACAAGCAGGGGGAGGGGCGAGGGCAGGCGATGTCGCATCACAGGGGGAGGACGACGAAGCGCTGGTGAACAGGGTGCATAAGCGGAATGCGCGGGATGGAATCGAGGCGGCGTCGAAGCTGTGGGTGGACGACATCCGCATCTGGAACGAAACGTAAGGGATTGCCATTATGAAGTTGATGCAGGAAGTGCGCGAGTATCTTGTTGCGGTGACAAGGGAAGTGCAGCCTCCAGCATTGAGTCAAAGCATAGTCTTGCCTCATACAACCATGCCGCAACACAAAACCAAGGATGGATAGGAGTTGAACGCTGCGCAGGAGAGGGCAATGAAGGTGCAGACTATCACTTTGCGGGTCATCCACGGGTGGGTCTTCAAGTCCACGAGCTGGCAACGGGGGTACCACGCAGCGTACGGGTACGGGTTGAACCACGCGGCCACTGACATCTCGCGCCTTCTGGTTGGGGGAGGACTAGCGTGTGTGTGAGCCCCATGGTGTTCCACATCACGCTGGAAATGGATATGAAGTTGCCACTCTGGTTCGTCGGCGCAAACATTGAAGACAGGCACGAGAACGACGAGATGGCGGCGTATCAGGAGGCGAGCATTCAGCGACTGGTGGGGGCATTCACGAGCGCCATTTCCACGGCGGAAGGGATCGACGGCGGTCGGGTGTCGCATGAGCGAGTGAAGAGCGTTGCTGAAGCGATGAGGATTATGTTAGCGGCGGCCATGTGGCTCATGCGGATGAGCGGGGATGATCATCGCTCGCATTACGGCGAGTGGGTATTTGTCCAACTGACGACAAAACCCACGCTCATCGCATCCATGCATCGCTCATTTGACGCGCCTCGCCACATCGTGCAAGCCGTGACCGCCATCACGGACAAGTTGGCGAAACCCCCCAGGACATTGGTAGCACCTCAATTGTACATCCCCGACTGGGCGTTGATCGGCGTGAAGTTCTCACATGACGCCACGTTGTCTTCCCCCATGGAGGCAAAGAAGCTCGATTGGTTGGGCACAGGCCCCCCGAAGGACGAAGACGATGACAAATGCAACGACGAAGGAGGGGAGGGTGGGTGATGAAATGTTTGCGGCACAGTGTCTTCCTCCACGTCGTCGTCGCAGGGTGGGATAGTGTGTTTCCCGCATTTCCCGTAGAGACGGTGACGTGGAATGAGGGACGCGCGAAAGGGGGGGAGGTGGAGGGGGGGGGCGTTGTGGGGTGGCGGGATGTGGTCTGGGGGTGTCGTGCATCCAACTGATATGTCGCGCTAATTGTTTTCTCTCGAGCGGTGCTTCTCTGCCGTCAGTTGGTCGAAAACAGCTCGTCAATCGTCGTGCCGGAGTACACATATGTCGTGGAGCTTGGTGGGAGAGGAGTTCGCCGGGGGGGGGGGTGTGCTTCCTTCGGTTTTGTGTCAGACATGTTGAGGCTGTACGTTATAGAGGGGGATGGGGGTGGGGACGATGTCGGTGGTCATGCTGGTCGACGTTTTCTTGATTGTCATAATCACCGTAATGAATTGGTTGTCGTTGGGGGTTTGTGTGAACCTTTCCTGATCTTTAAATCGTCTTTCTTTATTTCAAACATGGTGAATCGATGTTCGCAAGTGTAGAAGCGAACATGTATTTCTGTTGATTGATATTGTTGACGTTACATCTTGTTGTCGATTCGTGTTTTGTTCCGCTCTCATTTGCCTTCAGTAAAGTCATGGTAAAGGGAACGTAACGGGGTCCGGGTTGATTGCTTCAACTGATGGTTGATGACAAAGTGATGGATGTTCAAACACGACATTGCACATGTTGGAAGCAAAGGTGGCAGTACAAATAACACACAACGACGTCGTGCAATTTTGTACTTTTCATTCGTTGACAAAGAATAAGATGTTAACAACAATATTCATAATATGCACGTCAAGTAAGAAACCACATTCTTATGTCTCGTTACTCTCGTAAAAATAAAAACAACCACTGGATAACGACACACTTTGCACCAAAAAAAAGGCCTTCAAGGCAACTCCAATCCAAAACTCCGGAAAACAGAACACACACCGCGAAGGCGCGACTACGTAACCCACAAACGTCACCCCCGGTGACAGCACACCACACGAGAACTGCGATCGGCACGTGCACGCACACGACGTCGCCCCCGCCGACTACGAGTTCCACTGCGACATCCCCATCGACCCCACGCGTCGACACCCTCCTCAACGGCGTACACTGCAAAACAAAACGGAAACAAACTGCCGACACACGTCACCCCGTGCACGACAACCCACATCGAAACAGTCACCGTTGTCTCAACTCACCATTCCAGAAAATTGCCCCGCACACACAACGACTCCAACTCACACGACCACCCCTTCCAGGACAAGACACCTCCCGCGTCGTGTGGCCCAAGCTCTCGCTTTCTCCCCGCGTCGTCCACTACGTTTTCTCGCCACAGCCACTTCATCGCAGCCACCCGCTCCGCACGCCTGGCCGTATTCACTGCGCACCCAATCGCTCCGCCAGTGCGTCTCGGAGAATGAGCGCATCCCCTGTCGACGACTCCATACACATCGGCCTCAAGGGACACTCCATCCCAAGATCCACCCTGCGACGCACACCGTCCGCCCTGACCTCCCATAATAGATTATCATCGAAGGGGATGCCCGCGTCGATGAGTATGTTGTGCAGAATGCAGACGGCGACGAACTGCTGCGATAACGTCTCCATGTTCGTCTTGTGGGAGCGAAGGAACAACCTCCACATCCCCTTCAGTCTGCCAAAATCCCTCTCAACTGCTCCCCTCGCCGTCTTCTGCTTGTTGTCGAAGCGCAACTTCGACAGGGTTTGTGGGAGACCGCCGTAGGGGACGATTACCCATTCCAAGGGCGGATAACCGTTGTCCCCCAGCAGATAGTCGTTCGTCCGCACACTGAAAGGCAGCATGACACGTGGCCCAATGAAAAGTTCCCCTGCCTCCACGCGCGCCCATAAACTGGACAGGTGGATGATCCTCATGTTGTGGCAACTTCTTGGATAACAGACAAAGACATCCAGCACATACAAGTTCAAATCGACGATGACCTCCGCCTGGACGGAGAAACGGCTTTTTCTATCGTAGTAGTCCTCCACGGGGCAATTCGCTGGCTTGTCGATGAAGATGTGGGTGCAGTCGATGCACCCATGGCAGTTAGGGAAACCTTTGTCAGCGAAAGCGTACAAGACGGCCACCTTCTGCAGACCTGTCGGCGAGGATATCTTGTCAGGGTACGCACTCAGCAACGCCGTTGTTACATCCCGCACAGCCACCAACTCGGAAGATCTGCCAATGTCGAAGTTGCATGTCCCGCTCTCGTTCGTCTCCCCCGACGCCCACCTGTACAAAGCGTACGCGACAATGTTGTGAGGCTGGAAGGGCTCCCTATAGAAAGTGACACGCCATTCAAGGAAGGGAGACAAAGCTTTCGTGATCTCTCAGAACACACGTGGCAATATGTGCAGCTTGTCCTTGAAGTAGTCCGCCGTCGCGTCGTCGCATTGTCGCAAATCCTCCCACGTCCCGCCTGTCCGTCGCTTCATCCACCACCTCGGCGTTGCTCTGGGGAACACTCCATACCCCATGGCGTAGCACACCTGTAGCGCGGCGTCGCAAATGGCAGCAATGTCCTCTCCCTCCATATTCGTGGATTGCAGCGTCCTCTTCCGCCGTGCACGAATGGCCGCTCTAATCCTCCCCTAGGCCCTCTCCAATTGACACCAGAGGAGGATGGCATTCATGGCCGCTGCCACCGCCGTCCTCTCTGCCTTGCTCAGTGTGTCACGTCCCGCCCCCCCGTTCACGTCCATCGCCGGAACTGCTACTGTCGACGTGGCCGTCGCCTAGTGCAGAAGACTCCATGTGTTTCCGGCCTCTCAACAGCGCTGCTGCAAAAGAGTACTCGTGCAGAGCGTACACGTCGACGACGAAGGTGTACCTGCGAGGACGACAACGAGGACGATCGTGTGACAGCGTGTCTGCTGCTTCGGACGTGCACATGTACGTTCAGCGTACCCACCGACACTCAGCCGCCACGCCGTGACGAAACGATTCCATCGAGGAACGTTGCTGCCGTCAGCCGTGCGGACGCCCACGCCGTCACCAGTCGCTTTGCCGAAATCGAAATTCGAATTTCGAACGCTGGATTGCCCGCCTTTTTCGTGCCATTTTTTTTTCCCGCCGCCAACTTTCAATTTCGCGACGGCCGCCCGAGGTGGACCAATGACGTCCGCACGGATACACCCCCATGGACCAACCGCCCCCTTCCCCCCGCGTCCACTCGTTGATATATGAAACTGACCGCGGAAGGCCCCCAGGAATCGTCCTCAGGGAACGACTCCAAGGATGAGTGGAACGACGACACGAATTTCCTCGGGCGACGACGGAAAAATTTCCTCGGGCTCCGAGGACGGCCCGAAGAGTGTCGAACAAGCCCCTCAATCACAGGGTTGGTCTGAATAAACTTTGGCAAACATCAGTTTCATCAAGTCTTCCAATTTGATAAAAAAAAATCGGTCAGTACGGACAGCGTCCGACGTTCAAAAGCACGGGCAGATACCCTTGTTAGGGTTTCTGCCCCGACAGCATTGCCAGGCCCCATTGAACGATGACCCCGTCGTTCACCATCAAAAATATAAAATTAGGATTTTTATAAAGTTTTCATGTGAAAACAACAATTTCTATACACAATATTTGTTCGGAACAAAGTCGAAACTTTTACTAACAAACTGGATTTATCCTCCAAAAGCCTAATATAACACAACAAGACAGGATTCAGCCTCCAGAAGCCTACATATAATAACATCAACAATACAAGATTTTACTCCAGTAACATGAACATAAATACAACAAAACTGGATTCTGCCTCCAGAAGCCTAACCTTAATAGTTCTCTACTCATCAATTGTAAAAGTACAAGATTTCGCCCCTAGCAAGCCTAAAAATCAAAACTTGGACCCAGATTTTGCCCCTGGAAGCCAAAAATACAGAGAATATTTTCAGAATGCTTCCAACATCATCCCACTGCCGGCCAACAATTTTGTCTCTCTGAATGGTTACCAGATTTAGCCTTTGGTAAGCCTAAAATCAACAACCTTCAAGTTGATATTACCATAGATCAACCTGTCGAAAGTCGTTTAGACACAGTCTAAACGAACCATCCAGAGAACAACCATTTATTCAAAAGTCATCGCCCACGTTTTGAGCCCATTCCAACTTCAGAGAGAAAAACAATTCACATAGTTATTATGTCCGATGTTTCTGAACTTTTGTGATATGCGTCGAGGAGTGGTGTAATCCGCTTAAGAATAACATCTCGACATCAAGCCCCGCTTAAGATTCGAGCCTCACCACCTTCCCTCCGATTCCAGCGTCATGACCATATCAATCCCCTCTCTATAGAGCTAGACATCTCCACCCCACACAGTCGAGGTTGGTAAGGTCTTGGTCATTTAGGTGAAATGATCATGCTTGATACGAGATTAGGTAACCACTCCTTCTCTCGTACCCAACAGTAATCGCCTCCTCTATAAGCAGTATCTTGATAAGGTCACAACACCTTCCTCCCTTTCAATGATAGTGTAGCCTTTCTTTCCTTAAACCACATAGGATTCGGAAGACAGCATCTCGGTATGCACCAGGAGCACAGCTCCGGCGCGAGCCTCACTACTACCTACAGAGCTCACAATTTCATCAGAAAGATATATTAACATGACAAAGGACAATTAACCATTATATTCAAATCATAAATAATATAATTCACGAGAATTCACAACAATTCATAATAAATACTTCACATGGAATTTTCATAAAGGCCCGATTCAATCATTTATTTAATTATAATAAAGATTCATCCATACCATACGAAAAGATGAATGTGGTTTTAACAAAGAGGACACAATGAGTCCTCAAATATAACACTTATCAATTATTAATGTCACGAGCTCACTTGAGTAATCGAAAGTTAGTCACTACGTTGTCACTTGTATGCACCCTCGTACGCTAGGGGCCCCGTACGAGTTTTTTTTTTTTTTTTTTTTCTAATCCGGTATTGTTTTTATTTTTTTCCTCAAATTCTAATTAGAATCTGAAGATGATGCTCAACCAAATGTTGCTTGTTTTGTGTTGTTGCATC